TATATATATATATATATATATATATATATATATATATATATATATATATATATATATATATATATATATATATATATATATATATATTATATATATGTACAAAATAATCATTTGTCAATTAAAGAAAAACGAAAAAAAAGAAAAAGAAAAGGAACCTGATGCAATACTGCTTTTCTTCTCTTGAGTTCTGCAAGTGAGAATCGCATACGGCTCGATTCCAGCTGCCAATCCAAAGTCAAAGAGTTTCGGTTGATAATTAAATTGGATACTAAAATTGATTTCTCTATGATTAGAAGGACAAACAAATGCTAATGTTTTTTTTTATATATATTTTAATCTCGAGGGACGATCCTTTTGTCGACACAAGAAGACATAAGCATCTGAATCATTAGAATTCCATCGGTTTATCGCAAAATTTATGGAAAAATAATTAATTTGGGGTCAACTATATGTTCGGAACCCGTCGAATAAAACCACATATTCTTGAATTCCCAACATACTGAAAATAAGAAAGATCATGAAAACATACAAATACAAACACACACACACACACGCGCGCGCGAAATGAGAAAAAAGTTGATGTGATGGAAGAGAAATTAAACAGTACATACATAAGAAATCTGTGTTATCGAGTCCTTTCGCGCTAACAAGAAGAACTTCAAGCGTTCCCTGTGCCATCCTCGAATTCGAGTTAGAGAGAGATATTTACACAGAGAGAGAGAGAGAGAGAGAGAGAGAGAGAGAGAGAGAGAGAGAGAGAGATGGTGATCTTTGTGTGATGAAAAAATGAAACATATACAATGAGGAAGGTGTTAAAGAGCTGGTTTAAGGTTGTGAGGACCCATATAATCTCATTCTTTAATGTTATAGACAAGATTCTGAATTTCTGATTGGTTTGACTTCAAACTTTGAAACATTTTAAATACTTGGTGATTTTGATGTTTTATTTTTCAATTTGTAACGTCTAACTACTATTAAATGTGGGTAGATTTTTAGCCATCATATTCGAGTCAAGGAAATTGAATCGTGTTGATCATCATATTTTATTTTCTCAAAATTATATTAAATACGTGTGAAGCACAAATTGATAAATTTATTTTATTTTATTTACTGTTGTACATATTAGGCTGGACTTAATCATGTTATTTTGATTCATGTAAGCAACTTGAATTATCATTAATTTAGTCTAAACAAACCAGCTAAACCTAATAATACCCAACATGTGACTGTTGAATTATTGCACTTAGTAAATGATATGCCTAATTGGGTCAGTCCGGTGGGTCTACAATTTCTTAACTTATTGGGCCACGAGCCTAACTTTGAAGATTATTACAATGAAGGTCCAATCACTTTCAAATAAGGTTTGTGTCCGACAATCTCAATTAATTAACTTCAGCTCAATCAACTGAGGTATAAATAAATATTTTAACTCATTTGTTAAATTGGGTTCAATATGACTGCTCGTATTCTCTCTACGACTTTTGTAATCCACACTCAAGCTTGTGAGCCACTAATTCACTTTGTTTTGTAATTCACTTTTTGTAGTCGTTTTACAAGTTTCTTGTAAACCACTAATTTTTGTAGTCGTTTTACCAGTTTCTTGTAAACCACTAATTTTTGTAGTCATTTTACAAGTTTCTTGTAGTTGCTTCGGGAAATAAAGAAACAAAAAAATAGTTGTTTTTAGTAATTTTATAGTTGATTACGAAGAAAATTGAGCCAAAGAAATTATAGTTGATTTCAAAGAAAAATAGTTGTTTTCGGAATTAATAGTTGATTTGAAAAACCAATAAAAAAATTAAAATAAAATAAAAAGAATTAAAAAAAATATGGAAAATAATATATTTAAAAAAACA